TAATAATAATAATAATAATAATAATAATAATAATAATAATAATAGTACAACCACCCTACTTGGAACAGCTTATATCCTCCGACGCTACCAGAACAGTTCCTAGGTCCTTGGTTAGGACTTGAGCTGTTGAGCTACAAACCAGCCCCAAAGGCTGTGAATCTCTCACTAAAGATTAAATAATAATAATAATAATAATAATAATAATAATAATAATAATAATAATAATAATAATAATAATAAAAAACAGAGAATGACAGGGATTGCACAATTCTGATCTTTGTAATGTACACTGCTCAAAAAAAATTAAACAACTTAAACTTAAACAACACAATGTAATTCCAAGTCAATCACACTTCTGTGAAATAAAACTGTCCACTTAGGTAGAAACACTGACAATCAATTTCACATGCTGTTGTGCAAATGGAATAGACAACAGGTGGAAAGCAGAGACAGTTAGCAAGACATCCCCAATAAAGGAGTGGTTCTGCAGGTGGTGACCACAGACCACTTCTCAGTTCCTATGTTTTCTGGCTGATGGTTTGGTCACTTTTGAATGCTGGCAGTGCTTTCACTCTAGTGGTAGCATGAGACGAAGTCTACAACCCACACAAGTGGCTCAGGTAGTACAGCTCATCCAGGATGGCATATCAATGTGAGCCGTGGCAAGGTCTGCTATGTCTGTCAGCGTAGTTTCCAGAGCATGGAGACACTACCAGGAGACAGGCCAGTACATCAGGAGATGTAGAGGAGGCTGTAGGAGGGCAACAACCCAGCATCAGGACCACTACCTCTGCCTTTGTGCAAGGAGGGACAGGAGGAGTACTGCCAGAATCCTGCAAAATGACCTCCAGCGGGCCACAAACATGCATGTGGCTGCTCAAACGGTCAGAAACAGACTCCATGAGGGTGGTATGACGGCCCGACATCCACAGGTGAGGGTTGTGCTTACAGCCCAACACCGTGCAGGACGTTTGGCATTTGCCAGAGAACACCAAGATTGGCAAATTCGCCACTGGCACCCTGTGCTCTTCACAGATGAAAGCAGGTTCACACTGAGCACGTGACAGACGTGATGGGGTCTGGAGATGCCATGGAGAACGTTCTGCTGCCTGCAACATCCTCCAGCATGACTGGTTTGGCAGAGGGTTAGTAATGGTGTGGGGTGGCATTTCTTTAAGGGGCCGTACAGCCCTCCATGCACTCGCCAGAAGTAGCCTGACTGCCATTAGGTACCGAGATGAGATCCTCAGACCCCTTGTGAGACCATATGCTGGTGCGGTTGGCCCTGGGTTCCTCCTAATGCATGATAATGCTAGACCTCATGTGGCTGGAGTGTGTCAGCAGTTCCTGCAAGATGAAGGCATTGATGCTATGGACTGCTCGTTTCCCCAGACCTGAATCCAATTGAGCACATCTGGGACATCATGTCTCGCTCCATCCACCAATGCCATGTTGCACCAGACTGTCCAGGAGTTGGGGGATGCTTTAGTCCAGGTGTGGGAGGAGATCCCTCAGGAGACCATCTGCCACCTCATCAGGAGCATGCCCAGGCATTGTAGGGAAGTCATACAGGCACGTGGAGGCCACACCCACTACTGAGCCCCATTTTGACTTGTTTTAAGGACATTACATCAAAGTTGGATCAGCCTGTAGTGTTTTTTTCCACTTTAATTTTGAGTGTAACTCCAAATCCAGACCTCCATGGGTTGCTAAATTTGATTTCCATTGATAATTTTTGTGTGATTTTGTTGTCAGCACATTCAACTATGTAATGAACAAAGTATTTAATAAGAATATTTCATTCATTCAGATCTAGGATGTCTTATTTTTGTGTTCCCTTTATTTTTTTGAGCAGTGTATAACACATGTCAGTTGAATATCTCTTCAAAGATTTTTATGATGCTCTACCAAGTGCTAGTGTGTGGCACACTTTTTAATTGCTTGTTCTTTTGCAGTTGATGCAACCATCTAAATTATGCAACCTTCTGTCTTATCCACTGTATCAATATTTTCATTGTCAATTCTAAGCCAGCTTGTACCTGTCGTTATTAATTTGTTCTTCCTTATGTTTAATTTTGGCCTCTGTTTTTGCTTTCCTTCTTGACTTTTATTACTAGACCTTTGTGTTTTTGACTGTCAGAGTAAGGTCATCAACATAGTGCAGTGTTAGTTCTTCCTCCAGTTTTAAAACCATGCTCACCTTCTTTCAATCCAGCTGTTCTTAGCATATATTTAGCATAATGGTTGAATAAATGCAGATAACCCATGGGTTACAATGGCAATTGCGATTGGTGTCACTAAGTGATGTGGTCATAAATCATGATGTCATGTGAATACATTGCTTAGTGATGCCTTGCAGTTCATAAGCTTTTCCACAGCCAGCACCTGGCCATGTCTTCAAGCTATATTTGAGCTTCCCCACCTCCTTTCAGTAATTTGATGTCTTATACACTTCCTCTAGCTCTGTCCATGTATAGAGACTTTGTTCGAATTGTCTGAAGGCAATTTTAGCTATGAAGAAATCATTGGTGTGGCAGAAATTGATAAGCTGATCTCTTCCAATAGGTGAAATAAATTCTAATTCACATGGTGTAGCCAATTAATTTTGCCATAAAATTTTAAAAAGCCAGTTTTCATTGCTTTATCAGCTATTGCTGAACTAAGTTAGCCTAGTCTTACTGCACATGATTTAATAATAAAATTCATTGCTTGGATTACTTCAGGAGGACCAGAGATTGCTGTTAGTATAGAAAGCAGCTCTCCAATTAAGTGAAGTAGATAAATCAGACCATATATATATAAATCTAGGAAACACAGGACTGGTTTCCCGAATGCTTCCACATCCAACTTCAGATGCTGAAATTAATCTATAAAGGCCTAAAAGTTCAGGATCAGGAATTTAAGTGATTGCCTCCCCCAATTCTATCCAACCTAAAATCAACTGAGAGGTCTATTATTGTTCCACTGGTAGATTTGGCTCTCAGGAGTGGAGCTTTCTCTTTTATGGCATCCACTTAAGAATTTCTCTCCTGAGGGATGCCTGATTGCTCTGTTCCACACATTGATTTCCTCCAGAAAATGATTAAAAATATTAAAGGGATAACTTCTTCTCCAAAAGTAGAAGCCTTTAAAAGTTTTACATTCTTTATTTTGTGTTAAGTTTTTTTAATGAGTTTTGTTTTTAATAGAGCTGTGGAGAGCTCTGGATGGGATTCCAAAAATTTGCTCAAAGAATGTAGGAACATGAATTTGGAATCTGTTGGCAACTCTTAAAAACAGCTGTGCAGTTTCAGGAGAAGGCACTGCTGCTTTCAGGACTTGTAGACAAATGCTACATTCCTTGAAAATACCTTTTAGGAATCAAGCCTGATCAACTGCGCAAGCTTAGCTTTTATTATTTTTTGCCTTTGCTTGAATGTTTTTATTGTAGTAGTTTTATTTAAGACTTTCCTCCCTCTTTTCTGTCTCTTTTTGGAGGATAAAGGGCATAGAAGCAAGCAAACAAACAAACAAGTAAATAATGAGACTATAACCTTCAAATAGCAAAATATTAATTTTATGATATGAAAATTTTCCTTATTCCAAGGTTTTTAAACCATGAAAGTCACATTACAATTACAAACAGCAGTTGGTTTTAGGTTCATCTGAGATCCCAGAGATGGAATAACAAAAAGTGTTAATCCGCCTTCTCAAATAGAGGCATGAATCACTCACAACACACACAGGCAGAATGTTTCTGTGTAGATTAAAAGGAGCTGTGACAGCAGGCTTCCTCTGCCCAGTATTTCAGTGCCCCTAACTGCAAGACAGGATTAGCTTCAACATATATAGAGGGCACCAAGCTGACATTTTAGAATCAATCGTTGTCTGGAAATATGCGCAATGTATATAGATGGAGGTATTGTTATTTGCAAAATTAAATGGCATGTGCTGAAGAGAGCACTAGTTTAAACAATGCTTCCTTTATATTTAAAACAATTAACTTTCACCTATTGACTTAGGAATATGGAGAGGATTTCCTATGGTCCTTAAAAATGAACCAACACATTGCAACAAACATTATTGTTCTTTTTAGCTTAACCTGGTTCCTTGTAAGTCTTTAATCAGGTGGCAGACTGGAAAATTGCAACTAACTCAACACTCCCCCCCATCCTTTTCTTTCTTATTTTCCCATCCTGCTTTTTAACAGAGAAATGCAGCTTTTATTTTCTTTTTGCAAGCATGGAAAAAAATTATGTTATGCCACAAAATATAAAATCATTCACTAAGACTCCTAGGTCAGTGTCAGTTACTGTGAGAATTCTGCTTGGTTTCATTAAGACCCAGGTTTGGGTCAATTTGGGGTTCAGCTAAATGTTATGTACTTCCTATCATAAAGCCATATTCATATCTGGCCCACTCCTGATTTCAGTAGCATCACTGACTTCTGCATTGGTACAATTAATTTCCCCACTTATGCTTCTATGATCTTCTGATCTGAACACTATCCAGTGATTTTGCTAAAATTGTTGCTGTTCTTATTTAACAACCGCCTCCCACCCAACATAGAGACAACATTGTCAGCAAAAAAATAACAAATGTGTATCTGCAAGTAATGAGATCTTGTCTTCTCCAAGTTTCTGTAAATTATTTATAGTTAGTTAGCTCAAGTGTTCAATCGTAAGGGGGTAGATGAAGAGGGGGTATTCGACAAGAAAACAAGATATAACTAATACCAGAAATTGACACGTTGGAACTGAGAGGTTGGTTACCATGTGATTTCCCCCTCCCCCAGGCCACCAGAAAAATGGAAGGAAATTACATGCTAATCTCCATCTACTTTCCACTTTGTATTCTCCTGGTCCTTCTTCATATCAGTTCTGGGGAAGTGAGAGGATGTGAGGCCAGTTATGTGCTGAATGCATGCTCTCTGCTGAGTTGAAATTGAGTCTTGTGCCCTCTCCCTCTCCAGGGGACATTTGTGATTTTTGGACCAGGGTCCTTATATATTTCCATTTCTGAAAGAAACTTTGCACTGAAATTAGGATAAATATTTCCTCTTTTTCCTTCATACACACATAATCAGAGTTGAAGAAAAGTTCAATATTTCACTTTCTTCTTCTGTTTCCCTCCCCTTCTCACATATACATTGATTTTAATCACACTACATACAATCTCTATTGCACAAAAACAGGGTTCACATTCAAATTCTCAAGTGCAATATAGTGTATTTCAAACTTATTCAGAGATGTGCTTCGTTATTACCAATTCAAAGTGCAGGATTTGTTGGCCTTTTCTAATCTTTCCCACCATGACCATGCATGTGCTTTTACAGGATTTAGCTTCTCTTTTCTCCATCTTTCTTCCATTAGAATCACCTTGCTCACTTATTATTTTTCAAGGATTTTCAATAACCTTTGTAACAAAGACATTTCAATTCTGCACTTCTCAATTTCAGAAAGTTTCCTTCTCAAAAACAAGGTCATATTTTGCTTCAGCTAACAAATGAATGTTACCAAAATATATTTCTAGATTAAATTGTGGTGTTCTTAACAGTACACACATATCACCCCCAACCTGGGATAGTTACTACTCTGGTCTTAAAAGCAGCAGCTGTGAGCCTTTCTTCAACCTCAGCACAACTGCATGTTCTTTTTCTTTGACCTGCCCCACAGAAAAGCAAGTCCATACCAATCCCTAAACTGGACAACAGCCTTGCCAGTTTCTGACAAAGGTCCTTCCAGATGAGCTTGATGGTGAATTGATAGATGAGATCAGGACATCACCATTTCCCATCGCTGACTCATTGCTGTGCTTTCACATGGGTTAATGACCACTTCTCTCATGCTCTCACTGCTATCTCCCACCATTTCTGTGTCCAGGCAATAGCGGGTAGCCATGTGCTCAATATGAGAACCAACTTTATTCCAGCGCTATTAAAAGAAAAATGGGAAATTCAGATTAACCTTATCTTACATTTAAGATCCTCTTCCCATTAAAATATTAAACCTACTGCAACAACCAGAGCATTATTTTTCTGCAGGCAGACAAAGACTGCTATCTCTCACTATGCCATGGAGAAAGAGTTTGAGGGAGTTTCAGGAAAAATGTAGTCTGCTGACTGATACCTCCCCAATCCAAAGGGGTTACCTGGGGAGCAGTCTGATTATTGAACCAAATAGAATTCCTAGCTCATGCTTTATGAGGTATGACAGCTGTTGAATTGTTTCTTGAGTTGCATCAATACGGTAAACAAAGAGGAGAACAATTATTTAAGAAAAGCAAGTGGAAATTCAGTACTCAAACTTCAGGAATTTTGCAAAGTGCTCACAGAAATGCTGATTATAATAGTTTGTTGCTGTTCATCACTTCTTTGTGATCCAATAGATAATAGTTCACTAAGATTTCTATTAGTAATTCTAAGCTCATGCTAGTAATATCATAACAATGTCTACCCATTTTATCTTCTGTCAGCCTCTTTTAAAGAATCTATACAAAGCCAAAGTATTACCAAAATATGTGGAAAATATATTCTTATTGCCCAACATGTCATTTAAAAAAGCTGCTTCAAAATCTTTCAACTGTTATCTGTACAGAAACCAACATAATAAGGATGAAGCAATGGATAGGGATGAAGCAATAAAGCATGTCACACATTTGGGGATAAATGGTTCATGGGTGCAATCATTTGTTGGCAAATGACACATCATGATGAATCCTATCTGGTTTATCCTAACCTTGCATCAATTTTTGGGAAAAAAACCAATCATAGTTAGCTATTGGACTATTGCCACAACTTTGCTTATAATTTTGCTTTTAACTATTGCCTCTTAAATTTTAAATCAAGCCTAATGTGTGATATGATTGTTGACAGCATCAGGCATCAATGTTTGGCACCTAGACAATATGACTGTGACGCAGTGGCGCAATGGTTAGCATGCAATACTGCAGGCTACTTCTGTGATTGCTGGCTGTCTGCAATTTGGCAGTTTGAATCTCACCAGGTTCAAGGTTGACTCAGCCTTCCATCCTTCTGAGGTTGGAAAAATGAGGACCCAGATTGTTGGGGGCAATAGGCTGACTCTGTGAACCACTTAGAGAGGGCTATAAAAGCACTATGAAATGGTATATAAGTCTAAGTGCTATTGCTAGTGCTATAATGTGACTAAGACCTTTCAGACCTTTGACATTTTTAACTATTCTAATCCAAGCAAAACCAAGTAATTTTTGACATTTTCCAAATGATTTTCAATGGTATCAGTGACCATTTCCCCCCCACAAACATTATTACTCTGAGTATGGCATGGTCCTTCTGGATTAGAACAGCAGATAAGCTCCAGTAAATCAATAAAAAGAAATGAACCAAAGAAAGGGGGGTAAAACCCTTACATCAATACTAGTACACTACACTGGAGGATACTTTAACTGCTCTGATCTTGGTCTCACCTGCTTGCCATCCCCTTCTTTGCAAGGCAAAAGCATCACCTGGGAACCTGGAAAGAGGGTATATATGGACAAGCATAACTGTTGAAAATGGATTTGCTGGTTATATGTATATATCCATTCCTGAAACAAAGAAGAATGCATTAAACTGACAGTCTTACTTCTCAACATATTTCTTTAATTAAATTCATTATATCTTTCATTTTCTTTCCTGTTCAGCGTTAATTTCTTTCCAACTACTTTCTCACTTTTGAATAAATCATTAAAAGCATAGGGTTTTTTTCCCCAACAAATTCGTTTCTTTCATTTCTTCAATTCATTAACACTCAAGTAGGTTTCATCAAGTGGGAGGATACAAAATATGCTGATTTATACACCTTTAGCACCTAACATGGCTATAATGTGTGATTCTTTGGGATTTTTTTAGATAACACAGGATAGGAAAAGACCCAAGTATCAAAATTTTATCTATTAAATTGTTATGCACAAAACATTAAAATATTAAATATTAATATTTAAAAATAGCATCCTTCCCCTCATCCCTTCTCTCACTTCTGCCAGGAGGACATTAACAGTAGCTAGCACACAAATAAAATGAAAATAATTTTAAAAGGAATAGAAGCAATTATAATTTTGTGAGGTGAATTTAATATATCTGGCTGAAAAGTAACCTGTTTCCTGAAAGTGACATGAATACAGGTAGTCCTCAACTTACAACAGTTCATTAGTGACAGTTCAAAGTTTCAACGGCACTGAAAAAAACAACTTATGATCATTTTTAACATTTATGTCCTTTGCAGCATCCCCATGATCATGTGATCAAAAATCAGATGCTTGGCAACTGGTTCATACTTATAGCCATTGCTGTGTCTCAAGGTCATTGATCACTTTTTGCAACCTTTTGACAAGCAAAATCCATGGGGAAACCAGGTTCACTTTACAGCTTTGTTACTAACTTAACAATTACAGTGATTCACTTAACAGCTGTGGCAAGAAAGGTATAAAATGTAGCAAAACTCATTTAACAAATGACTCACTTAAACAACAAAAAATTTGGCCTCAATTGTGGTCGTAACTTTAGGGCTACCTGTATGAATCTCTAGGAACATAGCAGTCTTCTAAGTTTATAATAAAATGATTTGGTCCTTCAATATCAGGCTCTGACAGTTAGCCATTATTAAAATGTAAAATCTACACACTGTAGATGTTGTACTAGGAAACACTACAGTTATTTTACCCTCAAATAATATGTTACAGTATTATATATGACATAACATAGTTACTATAATTGAACCTTGCTGATTAGTGTGGATCAGTATAAGAATTTTCCTTAATATGGTACAGAACACAGAAACAAAAACCGTTATTTGCTTTTCTCACATAAAACAGTTTTATTGTACAAAATCTTATTCTACTATCTTTCTATAAGTGTACAATTATTTTGCTTCTATTCTTATTTAATCTATATGCTCCTATGTCTATCTCCTATTTCTGTTCCTATTCCTGTTCTTACTCCCACCTATTTAATTAATAGTTATTTCTTCTTTAAATATTTCCTTTTCCACTCAGGACTTCAGCTCTTGTAGGCAATCTCAGTCTATTTGCATATGATAACTCTTTTTTAATTCACTTACAGACTTGCCAGTCTTTTCTTTCGCCTTCCCTTCTCCTAGCACTCAAGAGTTCCGGTTGGTAGATAGCTCACTATTTCTAGAGCTGGTTTGTAGATAGCTTTGCACCCAAGTTGCTACACACAGTGTAGACCCTTGTTTGGGCTCTTCCCCACCTCTCAGCTTTGCTTCTCAGCTGGCTTTGAAGATCAAAAAATTGAAGTTTTCAGTTTTCTCTGACATGCTGGCCTTTGGGTAGAAGTGTTTCTTTTATACATTTTCGCTATCCTGTGGGCTGAAATCTTTTCTCCCAGGAGAAAAGTTTGTTTTCAGGTCCCAGATCTTTTCTGGGCATTCATCACACCACCTTTACTACCAATTTATTTAAATATTTCTCTGTCTTATCCCCAACAGGATAGAAAATCTGCACATATACCTGGCACTACAGGAGCTTTCATTAATGGTGGTTTATCTTGTGGCCCATTTTTCTGGATTAGTTAGCCCTCTGTTCCTGATTTACAGTGATAATTGCTATCTCCTCTATTCCCGGCCACAGAATCACTAAATAATGTCTGATCCCTGCCTATATGTCTTCGTACAGGCAGGGATCAGGATTTTCATGAGCTACAGTATTTGGAGAATTTTTTCTGTATACTTTTGAGACGCCACTATTTGTTCATGTTTTTCTTTAGCTTTCTTTTGTCCGTATTTTTCTTTAGTTCATGTTTTTCTTTAGTTTAGTAGTATATAAATATCAGGTTAGTTAAATATCTAACCTGATATTTATATACTACTAAAACTCTATTTTTTTTGTAACCTTCAATTAGGTGAAACAGCATATGACAGGGCACTGAATCAACTTATCTCTAATGGGCTAATTAAAAGAAAGCATCCAAAATCCAAAAGCCATTATTCCAGCAGATTGAAATTGGCACAGTTGTGGCTGCTACAACAGCACTGGGATGCCACAGTCAACTTTGGTCATGTGATTGTCATTTCCAATGTTCCCTGCCATCTTTCCACAAAAGTTACAGGGTAAAGCCATGTAATTTCTCTCCTTGGTTACTCCATTCTTTCTTTTCTTCCATAGTGGAAACTTTTACAAGTCCATTTTTCTTAAAGCCTTTCTTGTAGTCCATTTATCCCTTCAAGTAACATTTACTTTTCAAGCTACTAAATAATTTGTTTTGCTAAGAACACATTAACTTGCTCCTTTCTCGGGGTGATGTTCTTGTACCCAAAAATGTACATTGGGGGGTAACATCTGAAGGAATTGCTCCAGGACCACCAGGTTTTCCTCCTTGGTTCCTTCACCAGGTCATTTTTTCCCAAGATCAGCTATGAAGCCCACTTCATCCTTCCTGAGAATGTTAAGGATATTCACAAAACCTTTGTTGGTATGTTAAATCTGTTACCTCATACCAATACAAAATAACTTCTTTTGCTGTTTTGTGGTCTGTTATTTCCCATGCTAGTAAACTGGTATAAACCCTAAGTGCTTTTTTCAGTTAGGCATTCTTCCTATGGCTATTTACAAGCCATAATATCTACCTCAAATGTAACAAAATATGATTCTAATATATTTCTCATCTAAGTTTTGGAAAGATATCTCATAAGGTCCATCCCTTGTTACCTCAGAAACTGAATTTGGAGAGATGTTTCTCCACTGGGGATTCAATTCCTTTAAGAAGCACTATAAGGTCTTTCAACTCTTCTCTTCAGATCTCCCTTTCCAATCTGTCTTTCTCTAAGCAGTCTCTTTGCTCAGTTTCCCTCCATAAACTATTTTTCTCCTCTTTTCTGGGAGCTTTCCTTTGCTCTTCCTCTTATCTTTTAGCCATCACTTGTCTCTGTTTTTGTTGCCACAGCATATGCCTCCTCATAACACTTATCAGGGCTTCAGATGGATGTGGTTTACTTCCCGGGTTGGCTCTCCCTCCACAGATTCCAGTTCATCCTCTTTCTCTATTTCAAGCTGCCTTATGTAAGTTGTTGGATGAGTCATGTGCTGAGATACTCCTACTTGCCTCTAGATCTCAAACGCTTTGTCTTCCAGTCTTTTCCCCGCTACAACATGATTATCCTTTCCTTTTTCCTTGCAAGCCTTTTATTCTTTATGTTTGGATACCAAACCATATCCCATCATTGCTACCATTTGTTAAGGGTTTTTCTTCATGTAGTAACTACACAGAAACAAAGGCTGTACTTGTTTTTCCACACACAAAATGACTTTATTGTACAGAATTAAACTGATATTTTCCTGTTACTAGAAGTTACAACTATTCTATTTCTATTCTTGTCTAATCTATACATGTATGGCAATGTATGAATGACCTTGGGGAAAGAGACAAGGCAGACTGTCTACAAAACAATAAGATAAAAAAGGCAGGAGCCCGCAGTCACTTAACAGTCACAGAAAGAAATTAGGAAAAGTCCTGCCCTAATGGATCAAGTAGTTAAAAGTAGAGGTGGGAACTCTATGCTTTCAGACTTTCACATTTCTGTTAAATGTAGCTTACAATAAAGTAGAATTAATTTATCTTGTCATATTTCCTGTCTGGTTTACCTGGGAGGCCTGACAGTACATTCCTACTTCTGTTTCTTTTCCGATATTAACACTATGTTTCCTTATCTTAGCTATTTCTTCTTTAAATCTTTCCTTTTTCCCCAGGTCTTCCACTCTTGTGGCCAATCTCAGTTATTTGCATATTAAAACACCTTTTCATTTCTTTATAAACTTGCGAATGGACTTTTCTCTCCCCACTTCACTCCCCCAGCACTCAAGAGTCCTTTATTTCTGGAGCTGGTTTATAGAGCTCTGAATCAGGCTTTGTGGGATTGCTTGGGCTTCCAGACTCTTGTTCAGGCATTTTTCCTCCCCTATCTCTCAGCTGGTCCCGAAGATCCAAAAACTGAAATCTTCTCTTGTTCTCTTGAAGACAGCTGTTAAGATTCTTGCCTTTGGGTCACGGTTCTCTGGGCTTATTTTTTTCCTTGACACATCTATCCTTGACACACTTGTTTTCAGTTTTATAGAACAAACTCTCCAATTAGGGAGATGATGGGGCTATTTTAACGCTCCTTCTGAGGTGGCACCTAAACTCTGGTTCCTAGGCATGAATTCAGTCTTCCATAGACAGCCTTTATCTTTTACACTAAATTATTCTGCTAGATTAATATGAGCTAGAGCTACAGATTCATCAGCAAAGATACTGAGTCAACTAAGATAATCATTTTGTGTTTTTAGGCAATCCAAACTGAGTCTAGAATAAATGTGCATGTTGTGATACTAAGATAATATACTGCAGAGCTAATCCCCTTTTATTTCTTGACAGTGCTGCTGAAATGATTTGCAAATAATGAAATGCTGCAAGTTCAGGCACCTACACAACAGCTTCTTCTTGTGTGCAATCAGTTCAGAAAAAGATTTCCTCATCTCCCGTGTATGCAACCATTCTTAACGCCCCCCCCACCCCAGGTTGTGGAAACTGGTTGTTCAAATTTTGAAAGAAA